GGTTCCCACAAATGCCCCCCAGCTTCTGCATGGCACATGGAGGCATGTAGGAGATGTGAATTATCTGTTGGGCTGTCCAGCTGTAACTGGGCTTCCTTCTTTGATTTGGGCTCCTGCGTGGAGGAGGTCTTTGACTTGCCACTTTGGTCTTTTAACTTGGGCTGTCCAGCTATAACTGGGTTGGAGGCGAGCCGGCCAGCTGCTGGAGCAGGTGGCAGTTTGGGTCGGCTTATTTGTGGTTGATCCAAACTGCTTCAATTCCTTCTTTTTGTGTCATGAACTAGGAACTGTATGAGTGAAGGCGATCATGTGTGGAGCACGGACATGTTGGAAGTCAGCGGCAGATGGGTAGGGGAGGTTGGCGACGGTCCGCTCGTTCCTCTCACCTACTGTGATGGTAAGTTGCATCCCTTTGATCTGCTACAGTAGCCATGGAATTCTTTACTGTGTGTCTAATTGACTTCTGTCTTCTGCTTGTAGAAAATGACATCCACAAGAAGCTCGATCTCGGCCCGAACACGATCAATGTTCATCAAGCTTTTAACATCCTTGCCAGGTTCTGTGGATTGCACTAGTTGCTGAGTGAACATTAGAAGGAGGCTGATGGCCTGCCCCCAGCCGAAGATGTTGAAAGATGGGAGTTGCATGGCTCGGACCTAGATGATTTGCCAATTGAGCGGGAGAAGTCCTCGACCAAGCTTCCTCATTCTTCCACGAGCAAGTCTTCCGTAAGGGGGTCTCGTTTGCTGGGAATGTCCCTATGGGAGTTGCTTCTTCATCTGCCAGGATCAAGCGCCTCGTCAGCACGAACAGTAAGAAGATCAATGGCATGCAGAAGGTCTGGGACATTCTGCTCAGGTATCCGCTTGAACTGCCTAAAACCCATGATCTACCCTGTGAGGAGGCTGTTGAGAAGCAGGGTTTGAGCTGCTTGTGCCGATCTTGGGATCAAACTGAGAGGATTGTACATCTGTCTAGCAATCACGACTCGTCTGCAAAGCCACGAACAGTCAAGCACAGAGTTGACTCAATGTTGCGAGTTTCGGCCAAGAGAGCTAAAGAGTCTATACCTTCATCGACTTCTAATATAGATTCTAGTCTAACATCTTAACAATCCTCTGTTGTACCTTCTCATGCTTCTGCATCTTTTGGTGGTGATCCAGTTTTAGTTGCTTCGAGTGCAGACTCTACAGAGAATTTACAAGTTCTTAGTGCTCAACAGTTACAGGTTTTTTTGCCTCCTTTTGACTCTTCTTCACCATCTATGAGTCCTTATATGCACCCTATGCAGACAAGGTCTAAGAGTGGTATTGACAATACTAAGTCATTTGAGGATTATCACTGTTATCTTACTACTATTCCACCATTTTATGAAGCTGTTGAACCAGCTACTTATAAGGCTGCTTCTCAGTAATCTATTTGGATAAAGGCTATGAGAGAAGAAATTGAGGCTTTACACACACAATGCACATGAGATTTAGTTCCTCTGCCTGTGGATAAAAATGGTAGCCGATGGGTTTATAGAGTCAAGAAGAACTCAGATGGGTCTGTAGCAAGACATAAGGCTCACTTGGTTGCACAAGGTTTCAGTCAAGCTCCTGGTGTAGATTTTAGTGAGACTTTTAGTCCTGTTATAAGGCATACAACAGTTAGACTAATTTAGTATTGCAGCAATGAACAAGTGGTCTCTTAGACAACTTGATGTGAAGAATGCTTTTCTTCACAGTGACCTTGAAGAAGAAGTGTTTATGCGACAACCTCAAGGTTTGAAGACTCTGCATATCCAACCCATGTTTGTCGATTGAGAAAATCTCTCTATGGGCTAAAGCAAGCACCCAGGGCTTGGAATGCAAAATTCACAAGTCATCTTCCAGCTTTTATTGTTTCTCATTCTGATCCAAGTCTCTTTGTTAAGCATGTTGGTTCAGATAGTGTCATTCTTCTACTCTATATTGATGATATCATCTTGACTGGTTCTAAAGATAGTTTAGTACAAGAGATTATTGATAAATTAAGTGATGTGTTTGAAATGAAAGACATGGGGCGGTTAACCTACTTCTTAGGATTGCAAATTTCTTATAATGATAAGATATCTTTGTCCGTCAAACAAAATATGCTAAAGATTTACTTGCAAAGGCTGGTATGGATACATGTTGACCTTGTACTACTCCATGTAAGCCAGATTGTTAGCTTTTGGCTTCTGAGGGTGATTCCTTATTTGATCCAACCATCTATAGAAGTATTGTTGGAGCACTGCAGTATTTTACATTCACTCGACTTGATCTTTGTTATGTTGTTAATACCGTATGTCAGTATACGACTCAGCCTTCAGATTTACATTTTCAGTTGGTTAAGCCCATCTTGAGATATATTCAAGGTACTTTGGATCATGGTTTGACTTTTACAAGTGGATCTTGGGATCTTCATGCTTACAGTGATGCAGATTGGGCCTCTGATGTGAATACTCGCAGGTCAACTACTGGTTTTGTGGTATTTCTTGGTAACAATCCAGTTTCCTGGCAATCTAAGAAGCAAAATTCTGTTTCTAGAAGTTCAACTGAGGCTGAGTACAGGGCATTGGCTAATACAGCAGCTGATTTAGCTTGGGTTCGACAGGTTTTACTTGATTTGAAGGTATTCTTACCACAGCCTCCTACAATACATTGTAACAATCTTTCAGCCCTTACTTTAAGCTCCAATGCAGTATATCATTCTCAGATCAAACATTTAGATATTGACTTTCATTTTGTAAGAGAAAGAGTACATAATAAAGACTTGATTATGCAGTATATTCCCACTGAAGAACAAGTAGCAGACATCTTCATAAAGGGATTGCATGGTCCTATTTTTCTGAGACATTGCAGAAATTTGCAACTTAGCAGCTCAACTGGGTTTGAGGGAGAATGATAATCATATTGTCCATATCAGCTTTTGAGATTGTTAGAAGAGCACATGGATGGCACATGTTCTAGTTAGAGTTGTTAGAAGAGTCTGTTAGTTTGTTAAAGCTTTGGTTACTTAGTCTCTAAGACTGTTATTAAATATATAAGCTGTATTGTTACGTTGTAATCACGAATCAAGAAAATCAATACACAATTAGGAGTTTTCTGCTCTCTGCTTTCTTCTTCATTCTTCTCTAAATTATCTACTATTATCATTCAGATGGTAAGCCTTTCAGTGCAAGAATGATAGGATCATCATCTGTAATATCAACCCCAGCTATAGAAAGTTGATCACGAGAAGTTCTAATATTTTGTAAATACTGATAAATTGTTTCAGGTCCTTTTTTTAATGTTTCGAAGATATGTTTTCATCTGAAAGATACTGGTTCGTGTAACACATGCAAAGAGATGAAGCCACATGTCACGAGAAGTTTGACTGCCAATCACACAAGGAATAGCAGAAGAAGACAGAGTAACAGTGATTAAGATCATGAGAGCTTGATCATGAATCTTCCAAATCTAATATGCCTCATATACAGGTTGAAGAGAGTCATCACTGGTGAATTGAGGAGAACACGGCAACGATCCATCAACAAAACCCAAAATACCATTAAGCAACAATTCAATTTGAAAATTACACGTAACATAGTTCGAATCATCAAGCTTTACAGTAACTGTGTTTTCAACACTCGCGAGAGCGATGACTTGCTTGCCTGAAGAAAGAAAAAAAAATCAGAGATTGAGGAAGAGCTAATTGAGAAGCAGTTACCATTTTGAGAAGGGGAAGAATCGAAGAAATTCTCAAAATATTGGAGAAAATTTCAGAAAGTGAGAGTTAGGGTTTCAGAAATTAGAACCAGAGAAATGACGAAGGTAGAAGACAATGAGCAGCAGCGGTAGAAGATCGAGTTATGGCGTTAGCCTACGATACCATGACAGCGGTTATGAATTTGAGAGAAAACAAGCAAGAAGAAAATTAAAAATTTCTGATTTTGTCTACTGAATCAACCTAACCAACTTCCAGCTGTATTAACAAACTCTTAACAGCTCTCAAACTATTGTTCTAACAATATTACAGACTTAGTCTATCACTAAACAACACGTGGCTAACTCTCATAGTGACAGGTAGCTAAACTACACTATCACAAAATTGTTAGTGCATACATTTTGCTTTCCCTCCTATCGTCCACCTATTACTAGTTATGTAACTCCATTATATTCAACATAATTTTTGGTGTCCTCCAACATTTCTTGTCATCGTATCAATAGAACCATTACCGAGGGAGAAGCCATTACAACTAACTTTTTATAAATAAATAAAAAAATTTCTCCATCACAACAAACGAATCATTTGAAAAAATTACTTGCATGTTGTACTACCCTATATAAAGTAGGTAATTACGTACTATTTTTATTTACAACCACCAGGCGAGTGTGACTATCAAACTGACATGCCATATACATTTCACAATGTTAAAAATCATGAGCTTGCGAACACTAAAATTGTGTGAATAATGGAAACAGCGAATTTGAGTGCTGTCAGAATGGGCTTGGGTTTGGGCTGGAATAGCCCTTCTTTGGTTAACTTTCAACTCAATGCCACTCTAGGGAAAAGGGAGTGGCACATCCTCTAGAGCGTGAATGCTAACCAAAGGGAACACTACGGTGCTACATGCGCTTAAGTAAGAAGCACAAGAAAATTGGAATTAAGGAAGAGGCTTTTGAGAGAGAATTGAGGGTAGTGTAGCTGCCATGGAGATTATATGAACAAAGGAGTTGGATATATATAATGTTGAGGAGCTCAGCAAGCTTCTTGGTGATGTTACAATTGCTAATGGCGGTGTCATGCCCAACATTCATAACCTTCTGCTCCCAAAGAAGGCCGGGACCTCATCCAAGAACGTAGGCGGTGATGATGACTCTTAAATTCGAAGAGAAAATGCCAATCGTCATGGGCTCAATGTGTTCGATTCAGATTTAGTTACCTCTAGTAGGCTCATGGGGGTAGAGTTAGGGTTGTAGGTGGTAGTGTTTGTGGACATAATCATCTTCTAGAGATTGTGGGAACTTCTTTTGCTTCCTTTTTTCTATTTTTGGGCCTTTATTTTTTGAACGTGTTCTTTGTGGGTTTAAATACTTAATGATAGTGCTTCAATATTTGAGCAGCAGATGATTCTTCTGCTGTATATTGTTTTCTGATCTTTCACTCCACCATCATGTGTTGGAGAAATGGGGAATTTGTTGCTTTTAAACTATTGAATTGAAGGAAACAAAACGACATGCAAATTGTGAGAGGTTCAAAGAGCAAGAGGCAGATCTTTTTTCCCCCAATATATGCTTAAAAAAATGTTTTCATTTTACGGTTGACCTTTACTTGGGTAAGAAAACTATACCTGATCTGATGTTGTTTATTTTGGTATGAAAGTGATCTCGTCCGAAGTTGGTTATGTTGGTAGGTAATTTAGTTATGTTATTCCTTATCCACAGACGTCACCTTTAACCTCATTTATTTTGAGAGACGAAATACAATTGCATCATCTATTACATTAGTATAATCAACTTCACCATCAAACTCAGGTTGTGCCAATTATAAGAATTGCTGCCATCGTTCGCTGTCTCATGTGGGCAGAGGTTCAAAACCCTTAGGCACCCAATGAATATTTTTGTAATCACTTGTACTCAAAACAAAAAACACTGAATTGTGGGAGAATATGACAACTAAAGGGGCTATGATGTAGACCCGAATATATTGTTTGGTCCTAAGTCTTCCAGTTACGCTACCGTATCCTTGACAAAAATAAAAATAAAACCTTGGAAAGCCAGAATTATGTCTACCAAATTGAACGTATTGAAGGGCTGAATGAGCGCTTATCTGATGATATCAGTTTAATATCCAACTCCAACTGGATTCACAATTTAAAAAATTAATAAATGATATTGAAATGGAATTATTTTGAATTGAAATACAAGTTACTATGGCTGCTTGTTTAGTATTGTCATGGCACCAAGAAGTACACACTTTTAAGCTGAGAAATAAGCAAAAAGACCTAGACACAAAAAGAAACTAATCATTGATCAACAACTACCTATTCAACGCTTACGCTCAGCCTGCCACTTGAATACAGGTTTGGATGTTGGGCAGACAACCTCATCTTCCCGTAGTTTACCCTTTTTCTGTTAATTTAGACGGACTTTTTTTCAACATTTTCCATGCACAACAAAAGAACCAGATCTACGAAAAAGAAATTTGGATGTCAATACCTGTAATTCCTTCTGCATTGCCATATCCGTATAGATTTTCTCCAACTCATTGACTCTATTCCTCCTTGCTTCTAGCTCTCTGTAGGAAGAAGCTGTTTTCCTGAACATTGAAGACAAAAGAATAATATCGTTCTACAAGAATTCAGCGCAACAGTGGAAACAGGAAGGAAGAAGAATGCATCATTCCACCAACTGAAAGGTAGCATACCATGATATTGTAGAAATTTAAGGATAATACGAATTTCTTAAAGGATGAGTGACCTACCTAGGATTCAGGACGAAAATGGAAACATGAAGGAAGCAGTGTGCATCACTATACCATTGAAAGGTGGATTACCATGATATTTAAGAAATTGAAGGATAACAAGAATTTCATAAAGCATGAGTCAGCTACCTAGAATTCAGGAGATAAAATGGCACAGAAGAAATGAAAATTTGAGATATAACAAAAAAAATTAAGAGAGAGATTATTACACTACCAAATTTCTCAACTCCAACTAGCACCTGATAGAAGGGCCTCGAACCAACTTGTAGTTTAACTTTTTAAAATCAAACTTGAAAAATCTCTAAGCCAGACTCCAGCCTATAATCAGGTCTTTTCCACATAATGCGGTCAGAGATGCAAAAGAATTGGATTGTGGTTGACATAACAGCAAAGGGCAGTTCATCCCATTTGTTAAAAATACAGAAAACTTCAGCAACATACTTGTGACCAATAAGATTCGCTTATCCTCTTTCAGGTCAATAATCACAATAACAACTATAAAAAGCCAAATTGCATCCATTGAACTAAATATTACGATAATAGTTTTGCTTTAAACCTTTCTATTATGACGAAGTTTCTAAGTCCTATTCATATTCTGAGAGATTAATGGCTTTGTCTCACAAAGTAATTTTATGGCGTTTAAAAAAAAGTACAAACCAATCAGTGCACAGTTACCCCTTGATAGAAAAATATGCCAAACTTCTATCAACCAAATCAAAAGGCATTTGTTTATACAATACTGTAATGCACAGACATTCATAATAGATTCTTAAACCGATAAAAATCAACAGACCACCTTCAATAATAAACATTACTCATCAATCTATCCCTAACGCTGAAAACTTTGTTTGTACCTTTTTATATGATCAGGAATGTCCTCAGAAGCAGGCATAGTTCCACTTTTTGAACGTGATTGAATTTCTTTAGCCTCCTCCCTACAAACAAAAGGAAAAAACAAGATAAGATATATTTGAAAAAACTTTCAAAAACATGTGGAGTCTGACCAAACCTCAAGGGGGTGTAATTGAAAGCCTCCCTAAAAATAACAAGAAACAGAAAATGGTCTCTCCAACATATCTAAGTCTGGTTACAAATAACAATAACAATAAGAAAAACTAAAACATTAAAAAGCAATCCACTTAATCAGATATAATTTTGATTTTCCAAGGACAGAAAAAGCGGATGAAGCTCAAACCTGTCTTCAGCAAAGTAAACATGTTTACTTGAAGGCCAATTATCAAGAGAGTGGAGTGTCGCAGTCAACTTTTCAATTTTCTGCATTGGATAACAGCATAATTATAACCAACAGAGTAAACTAAAAAAACCACTTGATAAACCATAGCTTCTTGGTACCAGTATTAATAACCTTTTTCTCACTCTGAACTTTCTGAAGTATGTATCCAATATCTTGGGTCTTCATAAGTAAGAGCTCTTCTGGAGTGTACTTGTTTGCCTGATTCCTTTAGCAACAAGCTATGTCATTTGAGGAGCAAGAGCCAAAGAAAAATGATAAAGAAGTATTATACAAGAGTTCTATGTTACTCTAATTTATGGACTCCATCAACAGTTCGAGTCTTGATCATCTTGAAGTAGAACTCATCTGGGTTTCTAAAGGCCGCTTTCCCCTTCAGTCTCTGTTGAGTGAAAAGACAGATAAGACATAGCCTAAGGCATATACCATAATTGGAAGTTATTTACACTATTATAGACAAATAATGAAATCCAAGGAGACAAGCAACAAAGTCACCACAATTTTACCCGTAAAGTCTCCTCCTTCTTGTGATATGCTTTTGCACGCTCAACATAGTCCTTGTGCTTTTCAAGAAGCCCAAATTTTTTCCTCGATTCCCTTACAAAAATGTGAACAATAAATTACATAATTCCCATGATCTGATTGATGCAAAACAACATTATCTGAAAGTCTAACAGCAAAGGGAATGTGGTTGCTCACGGTTGAGCTCGTTCCTTGTGAGCCCGCCTGCTAATAGCATTCCTTAGGGACGACATGCTCAATGATTTGAAGCAATCACCACAATCAACTGCCAAGGTAGCAAAAAGACTGAGTTTTAGTTTGTCAGTGTGCAAACGTTCACTATTTATTAAGCTATGGAATTGCAGGTGCAACAAATATATATAACCATCTCCAGATAGACTGCACCAAATTTTATATTTACAGTGCATTTGGATGGAGTAAAGTAATGGAATGAAACATAGCCTATATTTGCACCGATACGCCGGTCATGAAGGGTATGCTCGTATCGGATACTCCTCCGATACGATACGATACGCCTCCGATACGTATCGGATATGGCAAACGGCGCATCGTGTATTTTCTGTTATGTTGACCATCCAATACGACTTCGATACGCCCTGGACACACGAGAGATACGATCCTGATACGGTCAAGGATACGGCGGGGGTTATTTCGCAATACACAACCTCTTCTTCTAGATTCGAGAAAGGCTAGGTTTTTACTGGTTTCAGCGACAGAGAAGAAAGAAGAAGAAGGATGAAGAAAAGAACTTACTTGCGCTTGCAGCTTCTGCTAATCTCCAGTTGCAATCTGCCAAGAAGAGGTGGCTAACTCCTGAAGAAGATGATGTTAGTTTCACTAATTACAATACGCAGCGTTTTGGTTGCATGTTAAGTATTTTATACTTTTTTAAAGGACTAACGTCATTTTATTCCTGGAGGTTTATGGTCAATATCAAAATGGGCCCCAATGTTTCAATTTCATCAATTACATACCTGACATTTCAAAATATGATCAATTTACACCGGTCGTTACATTGATCTTTAGGTCATATGTTAAATGCTGACGTGGCAATCATGGGACTCACCACAAAATCTATTTCTTTATCTTCCTCGCATCTCTCTCTTCCCCTTCGACACAGTCACTGTGCAAACAATGACTGTTCGTCTTCCCGATGACACAACGCTGCCATCTGGCCATCTCCGACTACCGGACCGATCGGAAAATGACCAGCTACTTCTGGCGACCATGTCTGGGCCAAGGCCCGACGTCCACAATTGTCTTATTGGCCCAAAGAAGAGTTTATAGTGATTTTGCTTGCACTGTATCAGTACCCTCACTCAATTAAAATTTTTTTCTAGTGTCCTCACTCACTCACTCACCTGTCTCAAGTTTATCAAAAATAACTAAAATTTACACCATACTTTCATAAATGTTAATTTTATAAAAACTTTCAAATATAGCGAAAAATTCATTTGAATATACTCAAATGCCCTCAAAATTAAAACCCAATTATAGCCAAATCCCTTTTATACCACTTTGTTTATAGATCATACCGTCACTAAACAAGAGTAGGAAATTTAAAGAAAACCTATGTAGTGTGATTGTTGAGAAGTGGTGATCAAAAGCTGGTTCTTAATTTTGTAAAATATCAACACTATCTATTACTATTACATCGTCGTTATCCCTCTGCAAAATATCTATAGTTTCTTTTGTATTTTATTTTTCTAATTAAAATTATTATGTGAAGAACCTACCTTTAATTATTATGTGAAGCCACCAATTCAAGCTATATCCGCAGAGATGAATTCGATTGCCTGGGTTTTTGAAAACATTGGCATCTGGTCTCCTTTTCTTCTTTTCTTTTTTGTCTAAAATCATTGTCGTTTTCATCAATTGTTTAGTGTTTTATCCTGCTATCTTTGGCTTGGATGAAGAAAACCTTTATTTTACTCTACTTTATTTGGAGATCTAAAAGGGATTTGGCTTTTTAAGTATAATTGGGTTTTAATTTTGATGGCATTAAGGTTTATTGAAGTGAGTTTATTTGCTATATTTGAAATTTGGGTTTTCAACCGAAATTGTTCTTAATTTTTGCCCAGTATCATTTTGGTTTACCAATTAAAATTTTCATTTCAATAGTCCTTCAACTCTTTATTTGATATCAAAACGGTCCTACATTAAAGACTATTAATATTACTGTTAAATTGAAGGGTAAAAATATCCATATGAATTAAAATATTAATAAATAATTAAAAATGAAAGAAAACTATTATAAAACTGAATTAATATTTGACCAGATACAACTCTTCGGAGATTTATTGAACACTTAATTGTTGTACAGTTTTTGTTTTCTTATTGTCTGATACACGGGTATGGTACCCATTCCACCCGCAATATATTAATATCTGACCAAATCCCAAAAAGATTACACCAATAATGAAACCAAAATGTATGAAGTTCATGTCACATGTGCACTATTGCAACCATAGATTTCTCCTGAACTGAACTGAGCCATAAACATTAATTTATTAATTCATTTTTTTTTATTTTTAAGTATGGGAAATTGTATTTTTTAAATTTTGGGGTAAACAAAAAGGAATATATAAAATTAAAATTAAAAATAAAAAAAAACCATGTTGTTTTCTTTGGTGGGGAGCTTTGGCATTTGGCAAAACAAACAATAAAAAAGAGTGAAGGGCATCAAATACTAACAAAAGGAGTCTATCTACTACTACTAGTATTGAGAGAGAGAGAGAGAGAGAGAGAGAGAGAGAGAGAGACACCAGAGTCACTTAAACCCCAAAAGCATTAGCTGTAGTGCAGTTCTATTTTGGCGCTACTCATAAACCTTCCTTCTTCCCCCAATTGAATGCAATATCTATTCAATTTCAATTTCAAAACCCTTCAAAACAAAACTATTCACAACCTACTTTTATTAATAAATTTCCCATTCTCTCTCTCTTTATTTTATTTTTTGCTTAGAAAAGGAAAAGAAGAAACGAAGAGAAATGGAAGAAGAAGGTATAGGGTTGGTTCTCGCAAGAGCTACAGAGCTGAGGTTGAAGATCAGCAACTGCATCCACAAAGCAAATGACCCACCACCCAAAAGGGAAAATGGAATCCAAGCTGATGGTGAAGCAGGAGATGAAGACAGAGAAGAAGAAGAAGAAGAAGAAGAAGAAGAAGAAGAAGAAGAAGATGAGGCGCATAAGCTTTTCAACATTTGCGATGCCCTTGAATCCCTTGAGAACCAGCTCTCTTCCTTACAGGTTTGTTTTCCCCAAAACCCAATTTCGTTTATGTTGGTTTTGTTAAAAACCCTAATTTTGCTGAAGTAGTTTGTCTATTGCAATTGGGTGCTTAAAGTTTGAAACTTGCAGTTTAATGTATGTGAGTGTGTATGTGCTTATGCTAGTGTGCTGTGTTAAATGGGTTCGTTTATGCTTGACTTCGGGTTTAATTTCTTTCGTGTTGGTTTATACATGGACTATATTACTTGGGCATTGTTTTTTAGCTTCTTGATTAGTCTTCCTCTTTTTATGAATGCCAAATTGCACTGCTTTCTGTTTGCTTAAGCAAAAAAATACATAAAAAGGAGGGATTTGTTGCTAGGTGTTATTTAAAATCCAGAGTTGAACCAACGTTATTACCACATATACAATCAGAATGACTGATAAGGTACATAATTTAGTATCAAGAAATATTAGGCTTCCTTTCTGCTTTTAAGATGAAAAAGTGTTGATTTTGGACTTGTTTTAGATGGTGGTTGTGTGGGGAGGAATAAGGGGAGACCTCGGATTAATGTTTAAATATAAAAAAGGTAATATATGAGTGGAACTCCCAAATTGGAATTATGTTTATTTCTCAGAACTCGTTTGATTGTGCGGCCTTCCCCTTCCTATTTGAGGATTGGTGGATGTGTTTGTTGGAACTACAAAAGTTTCAGTTTTTCGTATAAAAGTGCTATATGTTAAGGGAAGACATACGTGCTGTTCTTTTTCTTTTCACTTGTAGAAAGAAAGAAAAAACTTGTTCTATCAACAAAAATTAGTTATTCTGTGGTTTGATATCTTCCAACATCTTGATTCCTACTCCCGATAACACTTGTCACCGCAAGCCAATGCCGCACAGTGAAAATTCTATTATATGTTGTTTACAAAGTATTTAATACTTTATATTACATTTATAGTTCTTTTCAGAGGCAATAGAGACAAATTTTAAATATCACATCTGCTTGAAGTAGTTCCTTTTCACAGAGTTTTTAGTTACTAAAGTAATTGGAAAGCAAATTTTTGCATCTTATAGTGACCACAGGCAACAAATAGGAGTTGGCTTCGCTTCCTGAGTTCTTTCTCCTCCATGAGATGAACCCAAGACCTCCTCTTTAAGAGGACAAGTGTTTCACTTGGCTAGAAAAGCTGGAGTTGTAATTCATTGAACCTACATGCAAATGCACTATATGCATGTCAGCTTCCTGCACACGTGAAATTCCAGAGTACTCAATTTTAACCATGGAGGGAGGCATTAGACTTGTGTTGATGCATAGTCATGTGAATAAGAAATGACTTGTGTTGAGCATTATACATACTTTCATGAGGTTGGATGAACTCACTTTTGTTTGTTTGACCCATGCTTGATGTCCTCAAATTGAAACATTCTTTTTGACGTACTAGCTAGATCTCGAAGTGTTAGCATATTTATTATAATTAATGAGTGACCGGTTGCACTTTCCATGGAAAGCATACAAGTTCATTAAATGTGGCCATGTGTTTGATTTATTGTAAGAAGTATGTTATAGTCACAAAGAAACGGTTTTATGTCTTGGAAAAGTGACATGTGGGGCTTACCTATCGTTTTTAATTTGGGTATATATCAAGAACAAATTTAACATGTATAGGTAAGATAACTTTATAAGATTTGTAAACTTTTTTTGTTTTGTTTTTTTAATGATCAGGCTTTGCAACAGCAGCAAAGGTATGAAAGGGAAGTTGCCCTTTCTGAGATGGAAAGCAGCCGAAAGATGCTACTCAACAAGCTTAAGGAGTACAAAGGGAATGATTTGGAAGTGATACATGAAGCTTCTGCTTTTGCTGGTGAAACAGTGGAGCACAACAACGATCTCTTGCTTCCTCCATATCCAAGCCGCTCTCCACACACTTTTTGCCTAGAAAATGGCTATTTGCCACCTACACACAAGTCTCTACGAAATGGGATAATCAATAGTGATTCAACAAATGAAGAAAAGAAGAAATTGAGCGAGACAGACAGAGATGAGGTGAAAACTGGATCCAAAAACTCAAGAGGGTTGGGATTTGTCCTAAGCACAGCAGCCAAGACCGTGCTTACTATTGTTGGCGTGGCATCTGTGTTAAGCTTGTCTGGTTTTGGTCCTAGATTTGTGAGAAGTAATACCACTTTCAAAATATCAGGCCTTTCTCAGCAACCACCGAGTAAAGAAAAGAGATCGACAATTGAATGCCCCCCGGGAAGAGTCCTTGTTGTGGAAGACGGGAAAGCTCGATGCGTTGTGAAAGAGAGAGTTGAAGTTCCGTTCTCCTCAGCTGTTGCAAGACCAGATGTAAACTATGGTTGCGGTTAAATGTTTCTTCCTTCCATCGTTTTGTATATCTCTGCTTCGTTGTGATATGCTGTTATGGAAATTGCATCTCTAATGATCCAAGGGCTGTCTTAATCTTTCAGGAGTAGCTATTCTTAAGAGTAGTAGCAGTTCGGGTTTTGTTGGGGGATGTTTAGTGACTTCTGGTTAGAGATATGATTAGTGATTATAAGTGACAAATTTATTTTAGCTTGCGTCGCTTGAGCCAATAGCTAAAAGCCTAAAACAATGTTCCCCCATTAGCCTTAAAAATCCCCTAGTTTTGGAAATTTGCTACATAATGATTCCCATGCTAATGAAAAGTTGTGCGAAACATTGCTTGAAGATAAAGAACGGCACTCAAGTCAATGGGAGTCTTGCCCCAATGGAAAATTGCCTTAACTTGTATATTAGTGGTCTCAAATTCGAACTCATGGTACCTTAGTAGCGTATATGTGTGGATCATCATTCACTTTTGTAGGTTAAGTTATTGTTTGTATTAAAAAAATAAATTAAAAAAAATAAATTAATAAAAGATATTCATAAAGTTTATATGAATGAGCTTGCTATTAGTCTCTCATAATATTTTTCTTCAAGACAAAGGGGTGTAGCTCAAATTTTTTAATTATATTTATTTCTTAATTTTATTGTGAGGGCTTCAAAATTCTTTCCATTATTACACAAAATAACAAATCAAAACAAATTTAAAGGCCCGTGATAATATTTGTTTGGTGCATAAATGGTATGGCCCACCACGGAGAATCAGAAGATGGTAAAGTTTGACCCGAACCAAAGCCATGCATTATTATTGGGTTAAATTTACGGCCCGGATAACATGTGTCGAGTCCAAGAAACAACCCAAAATATTGATTTGGGCTTCAGAAATCATAATATAAATACAAACCACAATCGCCTTTTCCCAGTGTAATCTTCTTCAACCCAATTCATTTCGAGATTTAGGGTTTGGGCAGCCGAAACCAGTCGCCATGGGACGAAGACCAGCCAGGTGCTACCGCCAGATCAAGAACAAACCCTACCCGAAATCACGTTTTTGCCGTGGTGTTCCGGATCCGAAGATCCGAATCTACGATGTGGGCATGAAGAAGAAGGGCGTGGATGAGTTTCCTTTCTGCATCCACCTCGTTTCTTGGGAGAAAGAAAATGTTTCGAGCGAAGCCCTTGAGGCCGCTCGTATTGCCTGCAACAAGTACATGACTAAGTTCGCCGGAAAGGACACGTTTCATTTGCGAGTTAGGGTTCATCCTTTCCATGTTCTCAGGATCAATAAGATGCTTTCTTGCGCCGGAGCCGATAGGCTTCAGACTGGTATGCGAGGTGCTTTTGGCAAGCCTCTCGGTACTTGTGCTAGGGTTGCTATTGGTCAGGTGCTTCTCTCCGTTCGCTGCAAAGACAGCAACAAGCACCACGCTCATGAGGCTCTGCGCCGCTCCAAGTTTAAGTTCCCTGGGCGTCAAAAGATCATTGAGAGCAGGAAATGGTATGTTTTTTCTTTTGAGTTTGTGGGTTTTGGATTTTGCAATCTGTAACTCAAAACCCAAAACCCAATTTTTGATTTTGATTGCTTTTTTTTTTTGGTTGGTATGTCATGGGTTCTGTTAATTGTTTAATTTTTGTCATAACTATGATTAGAATTAATCGTTATTATGCTGAAACTTTGTCTCTGTGTAACTTTTCAGGGGCTTTACCAAGTTCAGCAGAGCTGACTATGTCAGGTTGAAGGCAGAGAATCGTATTGTTCCTGATGGTGTCAATGCCAAGGTTTGTTCATCCCTAACAAATTAGTGTTAATTTATTTTATTTGTTCCTTAAGCTTGATTTCATGAGCCAATGCCAATAATTAACGATCCATATGTTGTTCTTGTAGCTTTTGGGATGCCATGGATCTTTGGCGTTGCGCCGTCCTGGAGGAGCATTCATAGACGCTGCTGTGAACTGATTTCATGTAATCCAACTTCCATTAGGAATTAAGATTTTAAATTTTGGGCAAACTTCTGTTGGAGTTTATGTTGGAGTTTATGTTTGATATTTTTATTAAGGTTTTTGGTTATCGATAATGCTATCAGAATGCTGTTGCTTTGCATGAATTGGCTTGTTATGTTATATGAGTCTCTTTTAATGTTCTTTTCTGGTCCTGATATCTTTCTCCGTTAAATTCTAATGCTTCTTCATAGACCTTTTGCTGGATAAAGTTTGGAATGTTATAGTTTTAATGGTGTTAACTGTAAATCCTGAACTGTGTGATGAATTGTCTTAAAATAACATTTCCTCCTTGGATGTCATGCTATTTCAAAATGTTTGAGTTAAAATCCTGAAGAAATGGACTAAGTACACTGCGCACAGAATTTGAAGTCCCATTCGTTTCGAAAACCCTTTGCTTCATGAACCGAAGGTTTGGATGTCAAACAAGTTTCTTGGTTACCCTTCTCCTGCTATGTTCTCTTTCTGAAAAGCCTTTCCATTACAACTTCTTTCTAGGTCTCCTGCTCAGTTCTTACACAATCCTTTTCATTTTTAACGACTCTACTATCTGTCTCAGTGCTTGCTTCCGGTTTGAATTCTCAACCTTCTCAACTCTGTTACGAACTCTGTTTTCTGTAGCTTTCTATCTAATTTTTTAGGAGCAATTTCATTCTTCTTCATTGGGAGGGTAACAAATGCATCAAATAAAGCACTTTTAATTTGTTTCCATTATTTATCATCAAGGGCAAATAGTCGGAAAAACGAAGTAATAAATGAAAACGGTTTTTATCCAATAACTGTAATAGAAGGATTTTTCGCAATATTTTATTTATTAATTGGGTCTATATTCAAACACCCCCTAACAAATCAACATAATAAAATTACAAAAAATTATCCCCTAGTTTTAGTACAAGCTAATAGTCGAACTACTAGAGGAAGGGGATTTCTTACACAATCACACAATCATCCCCTAATAGTCGAATTACGAGGGAAGGGGACTTCTTACACAATCACACACAATTATCCCCTAGTTCTAAAGTTTCATATCTCTTACAAAAATAAACAAATAAATAAAACAAAACAAAATCATTCAACTAGGTTTTACCAAGTCAATCATCTGTCAATAGCAACTTGACAGTTCCAGCAATCAAAGCCGTTGGATCACCTAGCAGAGTTGATATCACCGTCTGCAAAACCAACCGGACAATCTCAGCGAACCTCTTCAACTTCCCTTTAGGTTGATGGTACTTTTGAATCATGTTGTTAAGGTTTGGAATTGTGGTCTGCAAATCATCACCATGTCCCGAGCCATGTAGCCATTTTTCTGCTATCAATTTCTTCGCACATGCCACATGCAGATAACATTTCTTGTCCACGGACCTGTAACACCAGCCCTTCCCTTTATATCCACATTCTTGGCACGATTTTTTCACTTTTTCATACAAATAGAGGTTGACATCTCCAGCCTCGAGCTTCATGGGCAGCTTAGCACAGCAGGGGTGGAGGTTGGACTTGCAGCCTTCGCAATGGTACACGAACCCCGTTCCTTTCTCCCCGCATGCATTGCAGCTGCGAGCGTTCTCCGGTGGGCTTGGGAGGAGTTGGAAGCTGCAACCGCGTTGGAAGCGGTGTTGGAAAATGCCCAAAGGGATGGCACAGTGCATGTGCAGATCAAAGCTGCATGAGGATTGGGGACACGTGTAGTGTGAACCTATGCCTGGCTCATTGCACCCGTTGCACATGAAAAGCTTCCCTGTCCACCTCTGCTCCAGCTTGTGTTCTGGGTGGCTCGGGTGCGGTATCTCATCGAATTTCGTCATGGCGGCTGCTGTAGACCTACGTCTGTAAAAGTATATTTTGATTGAAGAAAAAAAAAGTAAATTGATCATGTGAAAAAGGGAAAAAAAACACAAACACAAACTTTAACTTCAAGTTAAGTTAAGTATTGCATAGAAACACAAAGGACTCGTCTGATGCCTAATATTGGACTGGATTGGATAACTCATTAAGGCATGTTAGAAATTTTGTCCGAGTTGAAGGTAGAAGATGAATTACTTACGAAGAAAACTTATCTAATCGAATTCTTACAACATGGTAGGATCTTAACACCTTATAACTTATATCCCTTCTAATCCTAAAAATGAAAAATATTACACTTCTACCACCATTTCCTCCTTCAACTTAACTTAAATCTAAAAGTTATTCAATTCAATCCAATCCTAAACACCAGGCGAGCCCAAACAGATTTCATATTTGAAAAACTTTACCTGATCTCCTTGAAATATTGTAAGTGCAGAGAATAAGAATACTCTTTCAAAACTAAGAACTCATAATGGAAAAAATTTAAAAATGAACAGTTTTTTTTTATAGACCCAGATAACTTAGCGCAGAAGTTACCGCACCCTTATAATTTCAAAAGAACTTGTCAACAATTCCGCAGCTCCAAACGCGTACGGCCTTCTTCCTAGAAGATGCATGGCGGAGGCAAAGAAATTTTCAAAGAGGAGGGTCCTAAGTTAAGTCGTGGCTTTCTAGAAATGCATGACGTCGGAGACTCGGAGGCAAAGAAATTTCAAAGGGGAGGCTTAGCCATGTCTTGGCTTTCTTTCTAGATGCATGTTGGAGGCCAAGAAGTTTCAAAGAGGAGGGCTTAGCTAAGTCTTCCAAGAAGATGCATGGCAAAGATAGCTTAGCCAAGTCTTGCCCTTTCTTTGTAGAAAATCCATGACGGAGGCAATGACATTTCAAAGAGGAGGAGGGCTTAGCTAAGTCCTGGCTTTCTTTCTAGAAAATGCATGACGGAGGCAAAGGCATTTCAAAGAGGAGGAGGGATTAGCCAAGCCAATTCCTAGAAAATGCATGGAGGAGGCAAAGGCATTTCAAAGAGAATGCTTAGCTAAGTTTTGGCTAGTGGGATTGGGCTTACAAACTCCACTAGTTTTTTTTTTACAAATTTATAAATAAACCCAATCCTAGACATGTATTTATAAAAAAACCCAAGCACTATTTAAACATAGAAACACACCCAAAATCAACCTCAAAGTCAACTTTTTGGGTGTGTTTATAAATGGGTTTTGAGTGTGTGTAATGATGGGTTTTGGGTGTGTTTATAAAGTGTTTTGGGTGTTGGGTTTTTTTATAATTTCAACCTCCATTTTGGGTGTTTTAGTGAAACTCCCTTTTTTTTTTGGTTGGGCTACTTAGTTTACCATCGTTTCTCTATCCGAAAAGTCCGTCTCGGCTATAGCCAAAGGAGCTTTTAAAGAAAGTTTACTAGTGATATTGGGACAACGAGAATTAAATAGAGGACCTCAGATACAAAGTAAATATTCTCGACCTCTTAAGCTATAAGTTCATTTCTTAATTTGTAAGTTTAAATTTCTCTGAAGCAATCAAAACGAGCAACCATAAACACCATTAAATTAGGATGATGGCATACTAACAATAAAAGAAAGTACAATAGTAATAAAATTAACATAAAAACAAAATTAAAACTTTTTTTAACATGCTAAAATAGAGCACCTTTTTTGTATGAGTAACTCGTAGATGTTCTTCTTTGAAATACAACTATATGTCTATTTTTTATATTATGTAAACATATAATAAGAGAAATAGACAAATAATTGCATATCCTAATGTTCGCAGCCACTCGTAATCATGGTAGGAGAACAAAGCAAAAGAACGCACTTTATTAGGCCAACCACGATTTTTATTGTTGTTGTCGTTGCAAAATAACGGTGGCGCAAAGTAAGTCATCAACATCCTCATCGTCGTCAGAAAATATTGACGGCCGAAGTTCGGAACAGAAGATGCCACTGCACCATATTCCATTTCGTTAATATCTTCCTTCACAAGATGTCGCCATGAACATAGCCAATAACCAGCACATCATTTCAGTACTCCTTTCCTATGTCCCTCCCTCATGCAAGAGAGGAGGGAGGATGGAAGATTTAAACTGGAATTTTTGAGATATGCATGACTTTGGGGCTGGAGAATTCAAAGAGAGGACCGGGAGAGGCACGTTTGTTTTGAGGTATAAATAGACCTTGAAATTTAATGTTAACCCTAAAATACCCACGCTTAAGACAAATATGATGAGAATTGAACAAGCAAACTACGTAAGGATATATACGTAAAAGACAGGGGTTGCCGTAACCTTCCCTCTCCTTCTATTGTTGACTTTTCAATTTCTCATCTACATAGGAAGACCACTTTCGTACTACAATTTTATTAATTTTAAACCACATAATGTGGCTCACGTTTTTTAAAACTTTTTTTTTGTTAATTAAAATATTTAACCCATAAAAGTTTGAAAATTTTAATTTCAATCCCACCCACTTTCTCTCTTTCTATTTCATTATTGAACATTTATGTGTTTATATTTTTATTTTTATTCAACTACACATTTATAAAAACACCCTACTTTTACATTTCAAAATTTCCCATAATCTCGTTGAGAGATTTAAATCTCACAATCTATGGAATTTTATTATTTTTAATCTGTAAGATTAAACTATAAATTTTTAAAGGATGACGTTCCTAGTATATTTACGGCCACCAGCGAGCTACTAATCTAGTGATACTTTTCTTTTCAAAGTTGGAATTGAAAGATATCTTAAGTTCGAATATTTTATTTTTCAATTATAAAAAAGACTAATGGTAGGTCATGTGCCCCATTGTCCCAATGTTGGCTTTTGAAGTAAACCTTTCAACAATGGTGTACATGATTCTTGGTTTTACTAAAGTTATGCCCCCTTGAATAAATTTTCTTCCTCCGGCCATGTTCAAGAAATCCTAAAATGGACATCCTGCTGCAGAACTAGCTCAAATAATTATCAGAAAATGGACATCCTGCAAAGCTAGGACAATTGTGGCCTCCCCTAGATGGACCCATGAAACTGGTGATCATTTTTTATGGTGGATCACTGGATTGCACCTTCACCCAGGAGGCCAAGTTGTATCTAATCGAAAGTTTTTGGCTCTACCATAATTTGAAAGGCTACAATATTATATTCCTGTCTTTTTGTGTAAAAATAATGCCTCAAACCCACCCTACTTATGCCAAAGCAAAAGCCAATAAGACTACCTTATACAATGTTTGTAAAGTCTAAAAATATGATATTATTTGTCTTTGGTGACAAATTTCTTCGGCTCCTGAGAGATATTGGGCAAAGACAACGAATTCATAGCACAGTGGTAAGAATATTTATCCATAAATTAACGGTCTCATATTCAAATCTCAACGGCACCTCCCAATTCCCTTCCAAACTTTGGCACTCTTGGCAAAAATATGATGTTATGGCTTGCGTCACTTCAGCCAACAACCTCAAAGCCCAAAACCATGTTCCCCAATTTGGCCTCAAGCAGCCCCTAGTTTTGGGACTTGTGTGGCGCTAAGTTGCCTATCAAATTTTGCGCAAAAGAAAATAAAAATTGAAAGATCAAAGAATGGCTCTCCAGTGCCCTGAAGGGTTAAATCTAATCTAATCTTCACTGGGTTTTACTATATATATAATCTCTTTCGAAGAACATTGATATCTCCAACATCCTCAATACCATTTTCAAGAATTTCATAACATGGAAGGGAAAGTTTTCACAGAAGAGCAGGAAGCATTGGTGGCCAAGTCATGGGGTGTGATGAAGAAGAATTCTGCTGAATTGGGTCTTAAATTCTTCCTAAAGTAAGTCAGTCTTGCATGGTTTTTTTTTTTTTTTTTTTTTTTTTTTTCCATTTACATTTTAAATGTTGTTAAATCCTATATGTATGAAACAATTGCAGGATATTTGAAATTGCACCATCAGCGCAGAAGCTGTTCTCTTTCTTGAAGGACTCTGATATTCCTCTGGAGAAGAACCCAAAGCTCAAGCCCCATGCTATTTCTGTCTTTGTTATGGTAAGTATGAGCCACCCATGTCCACCTATTCAAATATTCCCAATAAAGTAGAATGATATGTTGCTAATCGTTAGATTTTGATCCAACGGTTGGTAGGTAGTTAACCATGAATTTTCATGACAATCTAGCTAATGTATGTTTAGTACTGCTTCTGCTTGTAGAAAGTCTAAAAACATTTTTATGACAAGTGCTTTTGATAGAAAAACTTCAAAATATTTATGATTCATAAAATGCTTTCTGAACATAAATTATTTTTAAGTGCTTATTAAGGAATCACTTTTTAAGTGCTTTTTAAAAAGAACTTCAATATTTAGTAAAAATATTTTTATGGTAGAAGCACTTCTAAGAGCAGTCCCAATGACAACTTTCAATCATATATTCTTCAATTTGTGTGGCAGACCTGTGAGTCAGCCGTTCAACTCCGGAAATCAGGCAAAGTCACAGTGAGAGAATCAACCTTGAAAAGATTAGGTGGAGTACACTTCAAATCTGGAGTGGTCGATGAACATTATGAGGTATACATATATTATTTTTTCGTTTGGAAAAACATTGTCATGAAAATTCCAATTATAATTTGAAAATGCAAATAAATTACTAGTAAGTAACTAATTGGGCCGACGCCCCGTTGAACAATTTTCAGGTCACTAAGTTCGCATTGTTGGAAACCATAAAAGAAGCAGTGCCAGAAATGTGGTCACCAGAGATGAAGAACGCATGGGGAGAAGCTTATGATCAGTTGGTTGCTGCTATAAAAGCAGAAATGAAGCCCTCCCCTTAAATTAAACACTTCATCAATACAATCCCAGCTCTTGCTTCATTTGAAATTTTACAACAGCGGCATGTGCCTCTGTTAATCTTGTTTCATTGTTTGTTATTTTCTTAACCTTTTCTTTTAAATGAACTTTTGTGAGTATGATATTTTAAATAAGATCCACTCGGTTGTAAGCTCATATTTATATCCCCTATAAAAAAATTATTTGTAATTAATATCAGGCCAATATATATATATTTTTTTTTCTGGATGAACCCAACAAGATTCAGATTATGACTATGACCCAAGCATTTTTTAAGTTTATCTGTGATGGGCTAACTTGAGCTAGATAGGCTCGAGTAATTTGAATCCGGGCTTTCTCAACCCACTAATTTTTTACTGCAGAAGGTTGGACCAAAATTTATAAATCTAAGAATAAACTTTGCTGCTTGCCGAACACCAGCAAAATTCAGTTTAACCATCCCAATGGGTTAGTTACTTGTCAAATTTTGACAACATCCTAAAGCAAATTTTGACCACATCCAATAGGTTAGTGACTTTAGAACAAGTTCTTTAAACTTGGGGCCACGCCATTGAGGATATGGATGACTAAAGCATCATCAGTGATCTTATCACATATGCTCCACATCTATACAAATTGTAAACTCAATTTGAATCAAAACTGTTGATGCTAAAAAATAGACGCCCAACATTGAACTCAACTTAGAAATGTGAGGTGTGTGAAGGTTAGGGCCTTCATTCACCTTAATAAATTGGCTACATTTATGGAGAAGTATATTCTCACCATAATAATGTGTTTGCATTGTATAAGGGGTTAGACCCAAAGAGAGAGAGAGAGAGAGAGAGAGAGAGAGCAAGGACCCCTTCTAAGTGGCGAGTGGTCTCCTTTTATAAGTAAAGAAGAGTCTTCACTTCTTGTAATATTCCAATGTGGAAATTTTGACATAGCCTCTAGATTGCTTGATTAGATATAGTATAAACAAAAACCGTACCAAATTGTCAAGTCCCTTGTGCTCTAAAGTGCTGGTTTTAATTTGAAGTTGGCATACCCTGGTTTCAGAAATTAGTACAGGACTGGAACTCACCCATTTCTGCTTTGTTTGTGTTTGCTGACGGCAATTTTAGAGGAAAGTCAAAAAATAAAAAATAAAAGAATCAAAACATTTTGAATGAAAACTAAAAGAATGAAAATATTTTTGATTGGCGCATGTTTTACAAAAGTATAACATGTCCACTGCTTGTACGATATCAAATCAAAGTCAATAATAGAGCACATGCAATTGTATGCCACTTCATTCTCCTTCACCTACAGAAGAAATAAACTTATATTTAATCAGAAAGAACATATCTGAAGTGATATATAACATCAAAATTAATGGGCGATTTGATTTTTTCAAAGTCAAAGACAAAAAATTTATATTCTATCATATTATAAAAAGCAGATGTGGGGGCTCATAATATCACTCACAGAAAGGGATATAACATTATATGGCTTGTCACGTCCACATATTATTTGCTTTCGGAAAACGTACCTTACCTAAATCACATTTCGTCATACAAATAGTAATATATACATGTCAAAAAAATTTCTCTTTACCACAGAAAGATATATAGTTACTTGCAATGGCGGAATCAAGAATTTTTTCATGGGTAAGCTAGAAAAACAAGAAAGCATCACTTGGATAATTGTGTCAAAAGATTGAAGTCAGGTCCATTTGATGGTTCTCGAAACAGGGATTCCAAAGTCAATCCAATGGTTGGGAAGAGAGTATGCTTGATTAATTCAAGAATTCTATAGTGAGGGTTTTATATATGCCCCTTAGGTAAGACCCTATCTTTTAACTGTTGGATCATGCTAAACAATTTGATTCCACGGCTAACTAATTTGATACAACATTTAAGATACAAGGCTTTACCTAAGGGCCATATACAAGGCCCTCATTATAGAATGACTCTTGATTAATACATGGAGGTAGGCTCATTTCTACATAGATGGTGTGCTAATTTTTTATTTACATAGATTTGGCTTGTATAATGAAGCCCCCTAAGCATGTTCTCTAAACACAGTATTGGGTTGGAGCCCATCATAGCCCAAACGTAGTTCCGCCCTTAGTACTTGGCCTCCACATTACTCAAAATTGTAGGTGCTTGTTTTTCTCCTAATTTTTTCTTGAATTTAATTGAGTATTTGCTTGTTTGGCCTCTATACATTTTTGTATAAATTATTTTCTTTGGTTCAGAAAATGAGCAGAACAAAAATTGAGTTATGAAGATAAGAGTAATACCTTAATTAGCACTGAAGTTTTCCCACACTTTGTAACCTTTTAAAAAGGAGGCAAAGTACATTAGTTTAGGGAATACATAAAAGTAATTCACTTAATAGGATTACTACGTATTCTAGTATGTAAAGGGTGGTCTTTATATCTTTCAATAAATACGAAGAAAAAAAACAGTTAATGTCAACTTCCAGACATTTACAGTTGGTCACTTGGATTGGACGACTGATATATTTCAATTAAATTGGACAAATGTCTCGGCCAGCGTTTGGTGAACTCGTGAATATTGGGATTGTTGGCTTATTTAATCAGACAATGGTTCATATTGTTGACTTATTTAATTGGACAACAGTTCATCATATTGCATTTTACTAGTCTCATCTAGAAATACGACACTCATAATTGAAATCAAATGCGCAATATCACAATATAGTTTCTTGTATGTGAATATCACAATATAGTTGTTATCTAGAGAAAGGGGTCTTTCATAACTAAAGGAGCTACATATATCACTGTCAAAGTATGCACAGAACAAGAAAAGTGCGAAGAATAAGAAGTCGCTTTGTACATTTTGTTTTGTTACAAAATATAATAATCTCTTGTAATATTCTTGGGCTTTATAGACTCTCTTGTTTTCCCATCATTCTCTAAAAACAACGGCTAAAAGTCCAAAGATACATGCCTAGCTATCTACTATTTGGCAATATGCAATTCTATTGGCTGCAAATTAAAATTAGAGCTCAATTCTTTGGTTGCCTCGCCCCTCCTTGGAGCTCATCATGCCAACCATGTCAACGCCAGTCGGTGACCTCTTTGATGAAACAAGATGTGCTGCCTCTGAATGGTTGGCTAGGGCTGCGCTGGCCTTGATGGCCAGAGAACACAAGTCTTGGAGAGACAAAGGCGACTTTGACTGAGAAAGTGGCATGAGGAAGTAGATTTGACCCAGCCGGAGCTCTTCATCTTTAGGAACTTGAGGAGCACATGAGCCTACGTACATGGACTCTAAGGTGCAGAGGAAGCAGTTGGGGTTTTGGGAGAGGATGTGGCTTGATACAACTGGGCGCCTAAGCTCTTGCAGCCCCCCATCCAATTGAACGATCTTGGTTGTGGATGGCCTTATGAGCTTTGCACCCTCACTTATGAATTGAGAAGATGCACAAATGTTGCCCATGAGAGAGAGAGAGAGAGAGAGAGAGAGAGAGAGAGAGAGAGAGAGAGAGAGAGAGAGATTGTTTTGTTTGTGTTGGGAACTAAATATGGGGAAGAAGGGTTGTGCTTATTTTTATAGAGGGTGATTGAAAAGCATGGAATTTAAAGGAAATTATAGAAATAGTGTTGGGTGGAAGAGAGGGCTGTTATTTATAGAGGGAGATAGAAGCATATAGATGTGGAGCCATGGTTGACCCAACATCAATGCTATAATTAGTTAAACCGCGTAGGGGATGGGGAAGAGAGTGGGATGTGTTTGAAAATATATTCAGCCTGACATTATTACTTTATGCTTTATATTATCTCGTCGAGTCAAGTACGAGTCTCTTATAGATACATTATTATGAATAAAAAAAAGAGTACTAATTAAGTTTCAATACGTGTAATTACTCTTAAGTTATATACATTAAGTCATTGGCTGTGTATTTTGCATCTGTAATGTATGTTTGAATTTAGAACATTTGAATTTACAACTCGTCTTATATTACAAATAATTTTTCTCTATATACATAATCTATAATGAAACAGTACTAGTGTCGGGGGCATATCCTAATACTTTTAGAACCACCAAATTAATCCAACAGAAAAATCTTCTAGAACAGTCGTCACTATTGTGTACCAACATGTTATGAAATATCCAACATGTTATGTTGCAATACTGACCATGTTTACACGGAAAAAAACAATTATCCTCAATATAAAAAGAGTACTTGCAGACTACCATATTACAACGAATTTTAGGAATTATATAATGAATAGTAAATTTGGCTTACACCCTTCAAATTCAATTTGCCGTACTTAAAACCCTTCACTTTTTGTTCCTATAAATAATACCCAATTTGTATAAGTAAAAACCTATAACTAGGATCCAACTCAACAAGTTACCTAATTAAGCATAAAATCCGATTTATTGTACTTTTCAGATTCCAAAAATACCCCCAACTAAGTCATTATTGCATTTTATATATTAATGTAGGAATTAATATGGAAACAGTTTTTAACTGGATTGTATATAATGACAGATGTTGAATTTGGAAAGATCTCCAAATTGTTGTAATGGATGTAGGAATTAATTTTGAAACATTTTTAAAAAAAAATTAACAATAAATTCAAATTTAGGTAATCGGTTTGTTTAATAAAATGTTTATGTTATTTTCTTTTTATGAATTATACATGACTAATAATCCACTTTATAATTGTTTATGAATAAAACTGTACATACTAATTATGTTGAAAAAATAATGTACCTATTACTTGTTTGTTTTATGAAAAACATAATTTACCTAGTATGAAAAGTGTACATAATTATCTATTCCAAATAATGTACCTATACACATTTACAGGTATATTGTAAAATAATTTACCTGTGGGTAAATAATGTACCTATATTTTATACAAATTATTGTGTACCTATTTTTAATTATGAAAAATATATGCAATTACAAAGTAACTGACTTTGTTTTTTTTTTTTTGGTAAATAATATACCTATATTTTATATGTATATACTTATATTATAGTTTTCATAGGTACATTATTGGATATGTAATTTACAGATTTTTTTGTTTGTTTGTAATTTTAGGGGGCGAGATGTGTGGGAATGACAACTAAAAGAAATGGGGTGATTGATATGATATTAATAGGGAGTATATTAATTACAATTATGGCAGTTAATGAAATGCTTGAAATAAATTATAAATAAAATATGAAGTTTAGTGGCA